GGGAGGTGGTTGAGTCCCCATCCCTGGATGTGTTTAAGAATAGGGTGGATGATCTACTTAGCGATATGGTTTAATGGGGATTAGAGATGGTTGGACTCGATGATCTCTAAGGTCTTTTCCAACCTAGAAATCTATGAATCTATGAATCTATATTTTAACAGGAGCATAAATTAGTAAGTTATTATATTTCAAAACGAGTTAGGTCTTACTTCCAGAAAAATATATTTAATTTTTACCTTACCTTTGAAAATGTAGCACTTTTACCCTGAACAGAAGCTTTAGCTGTTATCTGGAGCTGCTTGCACACAGAGGTCAGTTTTTCGGCCTCCAACAGAACCAAAGGTTTGTCATCATCGTGTACCTGACATGTTTCAGGAAGACAAAACCACTCCGTGTTAAAGACTCCAATATTAAGTTAATGGAGAAAGATAACACGACCAGCTTTTAAGCAGTATCACTAGTGTCATAACTGAATGGGTGTTTTAGAGGTCATACATCACCTGATCAGACAAGGCATGAAGAGCTGAAGCAAGCTTTGTGCCCTCTGTAGCAAAAATCTGAAAGGGAGAGAAAGCACGTAACAAAATGAACCACGATGAAAGATGAGGCTCTTTTTCCTTGTTTTAATAAATAGTGTGCTTTAAAGTAAAAAGGCAGCAGGAAATGTTTGTGATAGTTGTATACATTTATAATTAGCAAGTCAGCAGTTTGCAATGACTGCTGAAATAACAAGCTACATTACAAATGGCTGTTCTCCCACATAAGCAAAGTTTAAAGGCTTTCCCTTCACATATAAAGAAACCTCACTTCCAATTATTTTTTGCACTGTAGCAGCTCACCAGCGTTTTGTGGGTCGATGACACCTGTCATGATTATTACTGTCCTGACAAAGGTAACCAGTCTCCTGTTAACCACAGGCTTGTATCTTGGAAATATCACGCCACATTCCTTCATTTGGCCCCTTATCTTTTGTTTGTATTATTCAAATTTTTACATCTTTCTTTCCCATGAAAATGCTGCTGCTCAGACTAGGATGGAGTATCCATTAACACTATCAGGGACAGAGCTAAGTGCCACAATGAATACTACTAATGCATTGAAGTCCACTACATTTGTCATAATGCCAGTTAGCCATTCCTGTTCCCAACTGGGATCTGTTGGTTCAGTGAACGCTGTCGTAAGCACTACTACTAGAACGCTGAAATGTTGGCTTTCAGAAAGTACACACCAGAGTGAGGCTGCTTAAAATCTACAGGTGCCAGTCAATTCATAGTACACTGTACTTATGTGTAAGCAGGATGACCATGAGCCAGCAATGTGCCCTTGTGGCCAAGAAGGCCAATGGCATCCTGGGGTGTATTAGAAGGAGTGTGGTTAGTAGGTCAAGAGAGGTTCTCCTCCCCCTCTACTCTGCCCTGGTGAGGCTGCATCTGGAATATTGTGTCCAGTTCTGGGCCCCTCAGTTCAAGAAGGACAAGGAACTGCTTGAGAGAGTCCAGTGCAGGATGACAAAGATGATTAAGGGAGTGGAGCATCTCCCTTATGAGGAAAGGCTGAGGGAGCTGGGTCTCTTCAGCTTGGAGGAGACTGAGGGGGGACCTCATTAACGTTTATAAATATGTAAAGGGTGACTGTCATGAGGATGGAGCCAGGCTCTTCTCAGTGGCATCCAATGATAGGACAAGGGGAAATGGATATAAGCTGGAACATAGGAGGTTCCGCTTAAACATGAGGAAGAACTTCTTCCCAGTAAGGGTAACAGAACACTGGAACAGGCTGCCCAGAGAGGTTGTGGAGTCTCCTTTTATGGAGATGTTCAAAACCTGCCTGGACGCGTTCTTGTGTGATCTGATCTAGGTGGTCCTGCTCAGGCAGGGGGATTGGACTAGATGATCCTTTGAGGTCCCTTCCAATCCCTAACATTCTGTGATTCTGTGTAAGGAATCAGAGAGTTAAGTTCCAACTTGTTCTTCACTCAGAGTTCCTAACTCCTATTTTGTTAAAAATACATTACCTCTGCTTGATGAAATAAATCTTGAGTAGTTTTCAGAAGTCCTTCTCCTCTGTGGGAAATAATGAAAGCAGAATATTTTCCATGTATAGACTGCTGATTATTTTGCCTGCTACATGCACAATTTGTAGTATCACTCGCTCACTCTCACCCCCATTCACACCACTGAACCGTAAAATATCACTTTTAGAAGATACTATGCACAACAATAACTTACTACAGGAACTGCATTTCAAAATACTATATAAACACCTCAGTGGCTAGAGCACTATTAGGAAATCAGAAATGGTTTAGTCCTCATCAGCTGAAGAAGGACAGAAATCCATGTGTCTGGCATACTATTACTGGACTACAAGGTAAGAAAAATCTCATAAAAAGACTCTAAACTCAATAAAAGTTTCTCAACTCATAAACTCATAAAAAGACCCCTAAATTCTTCAAATAAGAAAGCTGACATGGCACAGGCAAGTTTCGGAATACCTTTCAGTACAGAAAAGATCAGCAATTCTAATCTACAGTTATATATCTGTGCTTTACTTTACTTAATTTTGAAAGTATTTATGAACATTCTTCTTAAATGTTTTCTGTATCCAAGAGATAATAAATAGCTCTTTTGCAACAAACCAGGTGTTTAGCACTTAAAAAACCCTAATTTAATTATTAAACAGCTTAGAAATTTACAAGAATTTATGATGTGTAAGGACAGAAATTAAAATTCCTTTCTGCATGTGTCCCAATCGTTATATTCTGAAAATTAAATTGTCTTATTTCTTGTAAACACTGTTAACACTCTTCTCCCCACCAAAACATGCCGCTACAGTGTAATTACCTTGTAAATAAATACATGGAGTAGGCCATACTTGACATGCCTTGTCCATGTTGCACAACCTCGTTCTCCTGATCCTCCCATTTCTCTGTCTCAGAATCCACATCAGATGTGAGCAGATGCAATTCTAATCCAAGTTTTGCAATTTTTGCCTGTTCCTGTAAACGGTAACCATATTTATGGCACTTGAAAATACATTCTTCAGACGAGGAAAAAAAAGAAATTTAAAAAGTTTTTTTACTAAAACGTTGGCGTCTTACCTCAGTATCCAGTTTGACTGGCTTTAATGCTTTCAGATTTGCATTATGCTTCTGTTTCAAACAAAAAATAATATTTTTAAATAAAAGGAATTAGTAATCATTTTACTAACAAATTATAAGAGGTGTCTCTCTACTCATAGGTAGACTTTGCAGGAGAGTTCCAGTGGTTCAGACAAACTTCTCAGTAGAAGCTGAGATTCAGTTCTGATCTGGCCGTCCTTCTGAAATGGCATGTGCACACAGGGCCTGTACCTGTTGCTGCGATCTTTTTATGGGTTTCCTTCATGTATTTAAGTCAGGAACTATCTGAAATACTGGTCTGGCTGCAAGCCAAATATTGGCTCAGATTAAATGATAGTTAGTGGTACTGATGCAAGTGGAGCATCTGATACAGCAGAGCATAACACATATACACAGTAACACATGATTTGTTTCAAATCAATTTGCAGGTAGAGAGCAGCAGTTCTTGGCTTTAACTTCATGTGCTGGTGCTGTCACTGTGCAAAGACAGCAAAAACTAACAGACATGGGAGCCACGGTTCACATTCAGAAACTGCACTAGAGTGTAGAGGAATGGAAAGTATAAAGCTGGTGTCATAACTTGGAGAGATGTGAGAGACTGGAGGAGGCTGGATGGTAACAGAGCAGGACTGAGATCCTTGTCTGGGAATCTGAAAAGAGCTGCTATTCATTAGTGGGAGTACTTGGGCAAATTAACATCAGTAGTGCCTGCAGGGAAAAAAAAGCACTATTCATTGTGAACAGCATCAGAGCAAGCTCCAGGCGCAGTCTCCATCTCTCACTTCAAGAGTTTGAGCACAAATAAAGTACTACTATTGAAGTTCCTACTGCAATTTGCTGCTCAGTTTAGCTTTCATGCCATTTCTCTTTTCCCATCCCCAAATTTTTAAATATTCTGAATCTTATGAATGTCTACCCAGATTAGATGCTGTAATTCTGCCTATTAAAAATTATTCTATTATATTACATACTATTTTATATCATTAATATAAATATATTTTTTGTGAATTATATAATTCTTATATAATTATCTATATAAGAA